CACACAGAGCGAAAATGAGTCAGTGAACCCATGAACCGTGACAGATTTGGTCCACTGTCTTCACAATTATTATCACTCACGATCAAATCAGTATCATTTTGTAAAGTGTAATGTTTCCCAATTATATCTGGCTTAAAGTCCTCATGTGAATGGGGGTTGTGCTTTCCGCTTTTGTGTGTAAAAAATGTCCCATATATATTTGTCTTAAATGCACATCCAATAAACACACACTCTATGGTTTCGTGACTCTTCAAATGATTTCCAAGATGTTGAAAATATTATTTTTCATTGGTAAATATACTAGAGCAAAGCACACACTTAAGAGAGAGGATTACTTCTGGCTTCCTATCTTCATCTTGTGTATGGTACCTTGACAGATGTGTGCGAAGTGCAGTCCACGTTTTAAAGGAGCATGGACAATCTTGCAGACTTTACAGCTCCATTTCATTGCACCTATTAAAAAAAGACACATGAGTACATTTCACATTTAAACTGTTATCTGATTTTTTTCTTTTTAATTTTACAATTTTTATTTGCATTTCAGGTTTAAAGAATTTAATCATTTTGACTTAACTAGGCTGTAGGGGTGGTTATCGTTTATTATTATTATTTTAATTCAAATTTCGATTATCTTTATCAATTCTGATTCTTATCAGCTGTGATTCCAATGTGTTAAAGTCAAACATTTATATATCATACATATTAATTCTGAGCTATTAGTTGGAGCTGAATATCATTAAAAAATCAGCACTAGGCCATATAAAAACTAAGGACTTGCTCAAGAGTGAAAAAACTATTGTTTTAATACACATTTATTGGCTCTAACCAGAAAGTAGAATGTTAATAACTCTGCAAAAATTATGTTAATAGAAATGTGGAATGTTAACTCTGTATACCAAAATATCTAAAATTTATATCGATCATGTATTATTTTTTACCGAAACAAATCAAAATAATCTAAGTTCAGGGCTTCCGTACAATCGCGTTTATGACCGTTTAATCGTAGTTATAGCTCCTAACAGAATGTGTAACGTTACCTATGATAAATGATTAGGTTCAAGGGACTTTATTTAAATAAAAAAATACATACAAATATGCCACCGTAACGGATTGAAATGGAGAAGTGCATTGGAGTGATGGAAACGGCATACTCACTGTTCAACAGCAGCGCTAAATAGTTTTAAAATGACCCCCTTCAGCCATTAATCCTATGGAAGCCCGTTTCCGCCACTGAATAAAAAAAAAATATATATATATTATTGCGACTTTTTATCTCACAATTCTGACTTTTTTCTCACAATTCTGAGAAATAAAGTAGCAATTCTGAGAAAAAAAGTCAGAATTGCGAGAAACTAAATGTTGGCTGTCCGGCATTATTACAGACAGAGAAACTGTCCGTCAGTTGATGCGACTGTTAGATGGACAAGGAGTTGATCTGCGTGCTCGCGGTCGTCTACGGCGACGCATGTATAACAGTCGCGGGCCAAACTATGTTTGGCATATTGACGGATATGATAAGTTAAAACCTTACGGAATATGCATAAACGGATGCATTGATGGTTTCTCCAGAAAAATGATCTGGCTTGAAGCATACAAAACGAACAACGACCCACGAGTAATTGCAGGTTATTTCCTACAAGCTGTTGCTGAGAATAACGGATTTCCACAAAGAATTCGCATTGACCATGGAACTGAAAATACGCATTTAGCAGATATGCAGACATTCTTCAGAGACAATGCGAGTGCAGAATGTGTCACTCTTGGTCCAAGCACTAGGAACCAGAGAATTGAACGATGGTGGTCCACTTTGAGAAGCCAGTGCATACAATTTTGGATGGATCATTTTGAACAGCTAAAAGAAGATGGACACTTTGTTGATACTTTCATTGACAAATCTCTCATCCAGTTTTGCTTCCAACATTTTATACAGGTAACAAATTTAGTTCACTATCAGATTTAATTTTATCCTTAAAGAGAGTATTGGAGTTTGATTATAACTTAATATTATTTATTTACATAGCCTACAATGTGCAGTTTTATTAATTCATTTGGCAAGACAATGTAGAATATATGTTCCATTTCTTTTTTTCATGAAGGAAGAGCTTGATGAAATAGTCAGTGCCTGGAATTGCCACAGGATACGGCCAACTCACAACCCACGTGCTCCCAGTGGTCGACCTTCAATAATGTTTGCTGTTCCCAGCTTATATGGAGTGCAGAATTTCTTGCATCCAATTGAACAATCAAAACTGAGCATTTGCCAAGAGGAGTGTTTATTTAAAGACTACCCTTGTGATGAGGATGTCTTTCAACTGTGTGTAGAACTCATGGCTGAGCATAACCTTGTCATGTCAGATGATGTTTATGAAATTACAGACCTTTACCTCCAACTTCGTGAACTGATCCTTCAAGGACTGGATTTGGAGGACTAGATTCACCATTCTAATCTAATCTACAACATTCACTATAAGCTAAAGGTATTGTTTCAATTGTTTTAGTATTTCAGATCGCCAAAATTGGTTTAAAAGTAATATTTTCCTTAAGTGAACTTTATATCTGTGTCTGTAGGTGTTGAACTGAATCCTTTTACTTAGATGATGTTTATGAAATTACAGACCTTTACCACCAACTTCGTGAACTGATCCTTCAAGGACTGGACTTGGAGGACTAGATTCACCATTCTAATCAAATCTACAACATTCACTATAAGCTATTTAAAGGTATTGTTTTAGTATTTCAGGTGGCCAAAATTGGTATAAAAGTAATATTTCCTTAAGTGAACTTTATATCTGTGTCTGTAGGTGTTGAACTGCTGCCTTTCACCAAGTTACTCTCCCTACCCAAGCAACCTTGGACCACTGGAGGGAATCTCAAAGCTCTTGGCATCACATATCAATCTGTTTTTAGTCCAATCATAGGTAAGAAGGACTACATTTGTAGAGTTCTGCAAGGAAAACACTTCCCACAAACTGGCTGTCTGTGCTAATTAAGAAGCAAGTCTTCATAATTATAGTTCACATTTTTAAAAACTACCATCTGGCCATAAAGATTTCATCTGACCATAAAGATTTTTGCATTTGTCTTTTGTTACACTGACACTCAAGAGTGATATTAAAAATTGTCCCTTACATGTTTAAAGTAAAGATGTAATTGTTTTTCCCATATTATTATAGGTCACAACCATTCACAAGGCAACAGAGAGTATTTATGGCTAGACTGGTGAGCACACTTTTCATATTCTTTTATTAATTGATCAATTTTGTATGCTTAAGAAATTAAAATAAATATTTATCTATGCTAAAAAACTAACATTAAACTGGGGGGGAAATGTGATTTTGATATCCATGGTTGGCATTTGATCTAATCTAACATCAAATTACATTGTTTATTTTTTTTAAATATGAAGTTTGTTTACAAAAAAATCATACTGTCTATCACTTTCTATTCATCAGTCAACAACTTAAAGAGGATGAGAGGATGAAATCCCCTGAGCCCCAGACTGCAGGTAATTTTTTTAAACAAAAAAGTAACTTTTTGTCTGAATATTATTTGTATTTGTTCTTATTTGTTCTTTTTTCATGAAAAGGCCAATCAAGTCTCAAAACAAGTTTCTGAGGTCAAAGGCTCTGCAATCCCCACCCTTACTTCCATTGTGCTATATCTATCTCTATCAAGATTAAGGGTGAGCATAAGTTATATTTCACTTTATGGTCATTTGTCTTTAAACATGCTTATGTTCAGGGAATACATTTTTTTTTACAATTATGGGCCAGACCCTTTATTGTAATAAACTTTCAAGTCTTGCTGAACCTTATGCTGAACCCTTAGTTTTGCATATTGCTTATTGCTGACAGATTTAACCATTATCCACTATATGAAGCCCTGCTACCTTTAAAGCACCCGGCTGAGAAGCACGGCCAAGAAAAGCACTGATGACGCAATAGGCAGCTTAATGTGTATTGAATGAATGAATGATTCTGTAGGTGCATCCCAATTCATATGCTTATGCACTATGCCATTTTGTAATATAAATATTGTGTTCACACTTAAAAATTCCAACACAGAATTTTGGACACTTCATGTACTCAGTCATTGCACCTTTAATTATGTAATTGATGACAAGCAAGTTGTCTAAATGCCATACACTAGACACACAGTACATAATTTAAGAGCGTACAATGTAATTTGGGACAGCTACTGACATGTCATATTTCTACATTAAAATTTCTATAATTAAAACTTTAACCTCATAACATTATTGATGCAATTGCAATTGTAATTTTACTGTATTGTAAATGCAATTATGCTACCAATGAGCTGCATTTAAAGGAGTAGTTCACTTTCAGAATGAAAATTCTGTCACCATTTGTTCACCCCCCCTTGTTCCAAACCTGTATGAGTTTCTTTCTTCTGTTGAACACAAAAGAAGATATTTTGAAAAATGTTGGGATCTATCTAAACAGTTGATGAGAACCATTGACTTCCATAGTATTTTTTTTTCCTACTATGGACCCCCACTTGTTCCAAACCTGTATGAGTTTCTTTCTTCTGTTGAACACAAAAGAAGATATTTTGAAAAATGTTGGGATCTGAACAGTTGATGAGCACCATTGACATCCATAGTAGGGAAAAAAAATACTATGAAAGTCAATGGTTCTCATCAACTGCATAAATACCACTTCTGATGCAGCTTCTGTGCCACCCATGCAATTCAAAGATGGATTTTGTTGATACTGATTGCATTTGATTGCTAACAACCCTATTGTGTGTTGTAGGCTCAGGCAGCCTACTCTAAGTATCCAGATGGAAAAACGTTTACATCCCATCATTTTATACACCCCTCAGGATCACCTTGTCTATTAGACACATTACTCAAGGTACAGTAAATAATCTCCATTATAATTCTCTGTGCATGATGATATAAAATCACAGTGATGTTGCTTTGTGCTTTCAGAGGGCAGAAATAATTTGTTCCATACCATCCTCATATCTATCCTCATGTGCAAAGGAGGCCAGCATCCTGTCAAATTGAGATCTTGTTATCTGTGATCTGTTTGTTTTCAGTCTTATAACATGGCAAAAGCACAGCCACCAGAATAAGAGGGGGAAATGCACAAGCATCTAGATGTAATGAATACTAAAAAAAAAAAAAAACGTACATAGTTTTATGACTATTTTTAAATGTATAAACTATGTTTTTCCAACTACAGTAATGTAAATTTTTTGCATGATTTCAAACATTTTTGTGATACACTATCATTACTTTCAGGCCTAACCTGAATGCAAATGAAGCACAGCAAGCCTGTTTTAGATGTACAAGACAATGTTTTGAACCTCAAAACTAAAGAATTTATGTGTTGAACTTGAAACTGATCAAAATGTATAGATTTTCCCCTC